ACCGAGCCAGTCTGCGCCAGAGTCTCATTATATTCAAATATTCATTTTAGGAGCCATTCCGTAGTGCCATCCAGAGCAACGCGCTGCAGCAGCTCCTCTGAGCCTTTCCAGCAAGTTTGTTCCAGATTGGCTGTCAAGAATCATGGACTGTTATTATATGCCTTGTTTTCTGTCAGTGAGTAGACACCTCTTCCTTCCCTTCCCGGGAATCATTCTGCCCTCTCCACCCCTGCTCGCCTTGGGTCCCTCCCGTCGGACCTTCCTCCCAGAGCCCACACTCCGCTTTCTGGCTGCGCAGTCGCCTCCGTCTCGGCCAGGCAGCCGCGGCACGCTAGACATACGGGCTCTGTGCAAAGTGCTGCTTGCTCCCACTCGCACTCTCAGTTTTCGGGTGCGTTGCAAGAAAGCGGAGCGAGAGGGGGCTAAAGAGATGCAAGTCCGCATCGCGGGGTTGTACCTTACGGGCTAATCAGCCCCCCTTCCCACTTGCCGGGGGTGGTGGGGGGAGCAGTGCCCGATGCCCCCGTGTTGCGTTCCCAGCTGCTTGTCAAAATTCTGAGGTCGCTCCTGGGATCAACCCCCCTCCCCCGCCGCCCCTTCCCGGGGAGTAAGCGAGCGGGTACGCTCCGATGCTTTTTGCTGGGCATTTCAAACTCATCAGCCACAGTAAAATAAACCTTCAGGCCACTTTGTCAGCTCCCAGACCACGTTCTCGGCCTCTGGACCCCGCGGTCCTGTGTCTTTACCCTGCCCCGGCGTCCCTGCGTTCCCTCCCTCCTGCTCGGAACCAGCTGGAAGTTGTGGAAGTTGGGCTGGGAGGGCGGAGGAAGGAGGTGGGGGTGGAGGAACAGGGGGAGAGGCTGAAGGTCTGAAGTGGAGAGCAATGGCATTTTAATTCTCCCTCGCCCACCCTTTTTTACCCCCTCAACGTTAACTGTTTATCCTTGAAGAAGCCAAGCTGAGATCATGGCTCAGATAGCAGTTGGGACAAAAAAAGATTAACAGGATGGAGGCTATCTGATTTGGGGTTATTTGACTGTAAACAAGTTAGACCGAGTAATTACAGGGCAATTCCTACTTTCGGGCCTTGCATGGCTGCAGCTGGTGATGGAGGGGGGGTGTGTGAGGGAGAAGACACAAACTTGATCTTTCTGACCTGCTTTCCATCTTGACCCTCTATCTCTCGCCCTACATGCCTATGCGGAGACATCTCTATTTCTCTCTAGTTATTGGTGTTTATTTATTCTTTAACCTTCCACCTCCTCCCCCTCCCCAGAGACACCATGATTCCTGGTAACCGAATGCTGATGGTCGTTTTATTATGCCAAGTCCTGCTAGGAGGCGCGAGCCATGCTAGTTTGATACCTGAGACGGGGAAGAAAAAAGTCGCCGAGATTCAGAGCCACGCGGGAGGACGCCGCTCAGGGCAGAGCCATGAGCTCCTGCGGGACTTCGAGGCTACACTTCTGCAGATGTTCGGGCTGCGCCGCCGCCCGCAGCCTAGCAAAAGCGCCGTCATCCCGGAATACATGCGGGATCTTTACCGGCTCCAGTCTGGGGAGGAGGAGGAGGAAGAGCAGATCCACAGCATCGCTCTCGAGTACCCTGAGCGCCCCGCTAGTCGGGCCAACACCGTGAGGAGCTTCCACCACGAAGGTCAGTCCCTGCCCAGAGTCTGGGCGGGGGAGGGCCGGTAGGGTTGGCTGGTGGGGCAGTGGAAGCCCTCGGGGAGAAAGGTTCAGGTTACATCAAAGCCCCCAATCCCGGAGGCTGGGGAATGGAGCTGCCTACCTCCAAGAATTTCCAGAGCTGTGGCTAAATTTATTTTTCGGAGACAGAGGGGAGGGGCCGAGTTAGGGGGAATGACACCACTCAGACGTGGGCTAGCCTCAGAGGTGTGTTTTTGCTATATCAAAGCCTTTTCTGCCAGGTTTTGTGCCCGTTTTCTTCTTCTTTTTTCAAAGCACCTACTGAATTTAATGTTACAGCTGTGTGTTTGTCAGGTTTATTCAATAGGGGCCTTGTAATCTGATCTGAATGTTTCCTAGCGGATGTTTCTTTTCCAAAGTAAATCTGAGTTATTAATCCACCAGCATCATTACTGTGTTGGAATTTATTTTCCCCTCTGTAACATGATCAACAAGGCATGCTCTGTGTTTCCAGGATCGCTGGGGAAATGTTTAGTAACATACTCGAAAATGGAAGAAGAGGGAGAGGGTGGTTGTGGGCATGTTTCCTCCTGCCTCTGCTCCGTTGGCCCCTCTTTTTCTTTACAGCCACTTGTAAAGAAACCGTGTACACAAAGCCAAGAGGGCTTTAAAAGGGGAGTCTTGATGGTGGTGGAGTAAGGAGTTGACACATGGAAATTATTAGACATATAAAGGAGGTTGAGAGATACTTTGTCTTTGGTGCTGGCCGAATGCTGGCTATGTCTCTCCGAGTTTGCTAGCTTGCCCCGTTGGTCTGTTTCTTTAAATTAAAAGATATACTTACTTCCCCCAAATAGGCTTTCACCATATAAGCAGAATTCACCACTCATCACCCGACCCTTAAGTATTTCTTGACTTTTCAATTCCTCAGACAGTTCATGTGCTCTTTTTTTTTTGTTGCTTTTTTTCTTTTTCTTTCCCTTCCCAATTGTGCCTAGAACATCTGGAGAACATCCCAGGGACCAGCGAAAACTCTGCTTTTCGTTTCCTCTTTAACCTCAGCAGCATCCCAGAGAACGAGGTGATCTCGTCCGCAGAACTTCGCCTTTTCCGGGAGCAGGTGGACCAGGGCCCTGATTGGGAGCAGGGCTTCCACAGAATAAACATTTATGAGGTTATGAAGCCCCCGGCAGAACCGGTGTCTGGGCACCTCATCACACGACTACTGGAGAAGAGTAAGAACTGCCGACGCCACTCGCTCTATGTGGACTTCAGTGATGTGGGCTGGAATGACTGGATTGTGGCCCCACCAGGCTACCAGGCCTTCTACTGCCATGGGGACTGCCCCTTTCCACTGGCTGACCACCTCAACTCAACCAACCACGCCATTGTGCAGACCCTGGTCAACTCTGTCAATTCCAGTATCCCCAAAGCCTGTTGTGTTCCCACTGAACTGAGTGCCATCTCCATGCTGTACCTGGATGAGTATGACAAGGTGGTACTGAAAAATTATCAGGAGATGGTAGTAGAGGGATGTGGGTGCCGCTGAGATCAGCAGTCCTTGGACACACACACACACACACACACACACACACTACCATCCACTCACCCACACCCTACACAGACTGCTTCCTTATAGCTGGACTTTTATCTTTAAAAAAAAAAAAAGGAAAAAAAACCTAAACATTCACCTTGACCTTATTTATGACTTTATGTGCAAATGTTTTGACAATATTGATCATATATTTTGACAAAATATATTTATAACTACATATTAAAAAGAAAAAATAAAATGAGTCATTATTTTAAAGGTAAACTATGTTCTTTTCTCTGGAATCCTTTCTCTTTTCTTCCTGCCCATCGCTTTTGAGTGAGAATTTTTTTTTCCTGTTGAAGTAGAGCTAGAAGCAGGTGGTAACTGGAGGTGGTTAGGTTCTAGGGACAGGAAGTAAATGAATGGTAGAGAGATGGTAATTGCTGGGATGAATTGTTTTCCATTTCTATTTAATGTTAACAAGGACACAGCATCCTCTCCCATCTGGATGACACATGACTTAGAAAAATGGTGGGATAAAAGGAGTAGGCCAGATTAAAGACTCAGTTTTGGGCTCCTTGTGGATTTGCTCACCTGGTAGAGGTGCGTCCCAGCTGAGTGTGTGATGGGTAAGAATCTCAACTCTTGGGAAGTGATTCTCACCTCTGCTTTTATGATACCCTGGGGTGTCTCCAGTTATTATAGGCCTCAGTGTTGTGTATTTCAATCCAAAAGTAATTTGCACACACATATTAACAAATGTATATATGTGTGTGTTTTTAACAGGTTGTTGGGTGGTGGGTTTTTTTTCTTTGAGAAGTGGGTTTTAGCCAATAAAATAAGTGATGTGCCTTACCTTCAAAAAATTTGGTGACCACTATTTTAATATACCACATGGTGGAACTCTCTAGTGTTTTCGGACTTGTTTCCTTATTTCCCATTCCAGCTGGGTGGGGGTTGGCAATAGGGTCAGGCACGGAAGGGTCAGAATTTCTAAGTAGGCACTGTAAAAGTTCCACTATATGGGTTCTCTAGAGTCAAATGCCAACTCTCCTTGTCTCTCTGTGCTGCCTGTCCCCTTCTCTGGAACTGGGCAGAAAGTGATACACTTGGATGTGCTGTTCTGAGCCAGGGTTTCTTCAAGGAGAAAAACTCAAATATTGGCCAAAGGAAAATGCTAATGTGCCTGAGCAGTCTCTCTGAGTTAAGGGCTGCCAGCAAGGCAGAGAAATGGCTTTCTGAAATGACATGCCCATAGTCTACAGTGGCTAAGAGGGCCAGACGAGAGGCCTTTGCTATGTCTTACTTGCCACCAGCAAGTAAATTAAGCCCTGGAATTTTAGCCTGCTTAGGCTCATTTCTTATGTGTGCTTTTTTTTTGTTTGTTTGTTTTCTGCAAAGACTTGGATGAGTTGAAAAGCAGTGTCTTTGCACAGTCTGTGTGGGGTGGGCTGATAGAAGTGAAGGTGGAGTGGGGTGGAGGTGCTGTGTGTGCACCCCCTGCATTCATGTACACACACTCTTCCCTATGTTCTCGGGAACTGGGTGGCTGAAGCAGGATTCATTTTTGTTTTTAATTACTGAAGTCCTACAATCCTCCAAAGGAGCAGCTTAGTGGAAACCAATAAAAATAGAAGTAGAGCGGTTGCCAAAGCCCCAGCTCCCCGGAGAGCGCAGGTGGAGAGAGGAGATCAGAGCCCCAGGCAAAAAGGCAGCAAGACTCCACAGTTCCTCCAAAACTCCCTGCAAAGAGAGATACTCCCCCCTCCGCCAGCCCCCCAGGTCGCTGCCCCTTTGATTAATGGTATGGAGGTCGAATAAATCTTTTAGGGGAAGCCCATTATGGGTTTCCCTCAGGCGGCCTCGTTTTGTTTTGCCCCATTTCCAGCAACTTTTGAAATGTCCGTGTCGTTGCAAAGGAACCCACAGATCTCTAGCACTTGGACAAATCATCCGAGGGCAAGTCCTGAGCCCGGTGGCTGCCTGGCTCAGGTCACTTTCTAGCAACCATGCTCCCCCCACGCTCCCCCTCCTTCTACTGGCTTATTTTCAGGAATGGATAATGTTGTTTATTTGTTCAGCCAAATATTTGGTCTGGGGAATTTACCGTGAAATTCTGTGAATTGCATATACCTAGTTAACAAAATAGTCCTAATGCCACAGTGTTAGCATGAAAAACAAGGAGCTATGGCCAGAGTTAACCCTTTAAATTCTGTTCGAGGGCATAGTCCTGACAACCGGGGAGATGAGGAATGGAATATGGGTAGAGATGATTTAATTTAGGTTTCGGTCTTCCCGGCATTGCTTTTGGATCAAGCCTGCCATGTCCCCCTTCTTCTCTTTATCCCCCCCTCCCCCCGCCCCAGAGTAAAGTTCCCATCCAAGAAAGGTGAGGAGGAAGAATCGCTCTTGAGGAGTTCAGCAAAGTCAGAACCACATCAGAGGAGCTGCTGGGTCGATCCCTGCCCAACCCTTAAACTGGACCGGGCTTCCTGGGAGCTTCAGGCAAAATCGTTAGGGGTGGAGGGTGGAACGCATCACATAGTCCCTGGTTGCATAATTGGCTCAGAACCTGCCAGGTGACCTGCTGACTTTGTTTTCTGTCTGGACGGTGCTCTGCTCCCCCACCCGCTTGCCGCCGGGCAGCGCCACACGGCCAGGGCTCAGGGCAGC